TTCAGCAGAGTTTTCTGATGATGACGGTTTTTTTTCAAAATTTCGGTTCTTTTTTGAGCTTTTACGTAAATTTCGTACCCTCAAAACAGCTTCTAACTCTCAAAAAAAACGAGTTTAAACAGATAATTTTTACGAGGCAATTGTGGTGCTAAACAGTCAGAATGCTATAAATTTTTTAAAGTAGGTTTTGAAAAAAATAATGAGCATAGTTCACTAGTGCACCAACTCAAGCAAAGAATAAAAGACATTGTTCTATTGACAATGATATCATTTGGTATTCTTGCAACGCATTTATTATTCTTCGGAGACAATAGCGGCATAAAAAAATTGTGTTTGGAATGAAAGGGAAAAAGTGGTGGAAGGCATCTTTTATTGGACTTTGGAAGTAGTTTCGAAGGATGATTACTTGAAAGTTGTTAATTTTAGGATGTTAAAAATAATTTTTTTGGTTGATTCAGGTTTTTTTCCGTAGTCAAAGTTGTTATACCAAATGATTTGAGCAGTATTTCGCAAAATGAGACAAAATCTTGCGGAACTTTGGCAAGTCCTTCAATTTGCGGAAATTCCGACACCGTCTATCCTATCAAAGTGAGTAGCATTTCTCAACATCTTTCTATCCCTACACAAACTAACTGATTCTTAGAAACGATTCCCCCAGGGAAAATTGGCTAATGGAAAAATAGCTAAGCGTAATAATGAGTTTAGCTACACTTCATTATCGCATCGCTACCAGCCCTGGCATCCGTAGTCCTATTATTGAATTTTCAGAAAAAAATTGTGCCATCACATCATTCCGGAAGGTTCTTTGCTCGTCTCTTTGCCCTGTATTCATGATTCTTACAATTTTATCAAAGTTTGTGAAAAACTTATAACAAGTTAGTTGCCTTGATTTGCAAAAGATTGGTAGAAAAAATACTTACATGTCATCTGCATCATTTGATAAACCCATGTGGGCCACTTTTCCAAATTTCCCCCCCCCCCCCCCCTCTTGTTTGACTAATGCTCACAAGGCTCGGCTCATAAGGGATTTCGAAAATTCAAAGTAGCTTTCCCAGAGATTAAGAGTCGACCAATAATACTTAAATTGTGAATCCATTTTTACGTGATCTAAAAATAAAAATAAAAATAAACGGTAAATTAATGGACTAGGAAATGCGCTTCAGTTGATATAAACGAAGCAGATCTTAAATGACAACTGACGTTTTTTGAGAAGCAGAATTATTTTTCAATAATTTATTCGGGACTTTTTTCAACTTTTGTGGGCACAAAAACTATATGAATACTGTTTGAAGAGCGATAGCTCCAGTTATGCTAGTTGCAGGGCTCGGCACGAGATAGCTAGTTGAATTTGCAAAAAAAACGAAGTACCCTTAACTTTTGCGAATTTTTACGACCCTTTGACCCTGATTATGATCCCCAAAAAATCTCCGAAAAACGAAACGTCGACAAAAAAACCTCGCAAATCTTGTGTCTTTTCGGCCACAAAAACGAAATCCCCTTTGCTTTTTGTCTTAAAAAGGATATTCAGCTTGCTCATAAGCCACCTATGGACCTGGTTAATTGGAAGAGCGCCAAGAAATTCTGGAGATTTTTTGAAACATCTCTTATGGTTGACACATATATGGGAATACAACAAATTTTGAGTTTAAAGCAATTGAAAATTCGTATATTTCTTATACCAACAGTAACAAGATCTAATTTTGAACCTGATATTTCCCGTTTCAAAGCCAAACTCTCCCTTGAAAGGGAACACTCATCAAATGCAAGCCCTGAGTTTTGCTCATTGGTAGATCAACACCTGACATAATGTTAATCCTTGCAACTCAAGCATCGAATGCTAAACTTTTATGCGAACCGGATGCGTCGTAATGCTAGCGCCTTCTGCGCGCTGATCCATGACTGACGTGCTGATCACAGATTAACCCACTGCATTCATAAATGCCAAGTTACTCATAAGTCCATATTAGAAGGACTCTGACGGATGAATATATTATTTTTAGAGAAATAGTCAGCGCTGAAAAGCTTGGAGAAATCTATTGCATTGTGGGGAGAAAAAATGAATTAAACATGAAAGAAATGACGTTTTTTTAGAGAGAGGTTTCCTAAATTGATGCAACTTGGAGAGGAATCACTGTATTCAGGTAATGCATAATCTTACAAAAAATGATAATATTCTTGGCAATTGCAGAAAATTTCAAAATTTGTTTTTCTGAGGAAGACCAATATGGCCCTAACATCCTAAGAATTTTTTTTTCGAATTCTATGGTTATAGCCTCTTTCTAATCAGAAAAAAGGGTCCCTCCAATCTTTCTCTTTCTAAATGAAAAAAAATTCTGGAACACATATGACGTATTATTATGGTTTTTTTCGTGAATATTTCACTACAAAAATTGATAAAATTCCTTAATGTGAGATACTCGTTGTTTGTTCTGCCATCCAAGTTGCGCTCGAGTTTCCGTTTAAGTTTTTCAAAATGGTTCTCGAGCACGCCATTCATGAGAATTGAGGATTAGGAAGTCAAGATTATCCTTTGTCCACTAGGAAGCGCAGGCGGGGGGGGGGGGGGGTGAACCTCAGCGTGGCAGTGGGGGATCGACAAAATTTCTATGAAACCGGAAATATCGTGATGGTCGATTATTGAAGCGAAAATGCTTTTACTTTGAATTTCTAGAAGGGCAGAAAAATTATTGTAAAGCTGCAAAAATAAAAAAGCTAATCGAGCATAAAATTGTAAAAAAAAACAGAAATAAGGAAATGCAGAAAAAACAAAATAGAAACTGAAATAAGTGGAAAAAGAAATCAATGAAGACTTGGAAAAGCCAAATATTTGTTTTCTTGAAACGGGAAATATTTGAAGTACTCATGCGAAAATCGATGACATTTTTTTCTATCATTTGTAATTTGTTAATTATTTTTCTATTTATTTTGATATTAATCCGTAAATTTTTTTTCATTAACTGCTATAAAACTCTTCCTCCCATTTCTTCAAAATTGTTGACAATCACTACTTCCCCCGTAGTAACTCTGCCTGACGCATGAATACCCTCCGTGATTGGAGCCTGCTCGAACGGACGAGTTGCACACGCACAACATTTCTTTGTTTCATTCATACTACGTCTTTCACACCGAAAAATGCCAAACATGTGTTGTCACAGAATCAGCTGTGAATTTGACGCACACCTTGTGTCGATAGATTTCAGCTAAAAAACATAAATTACGACCTTAAATTATTCGCATGCATCAAATCTTAGTCAACTTTTTCTGCAAAATCGCGTATGAAGAAAGAATTGAGCATTTCATTAAGAAAAGTGTTTAGCGGTGTTGTAGTGAAAAATATTTATTTTAGCAAATTTGCTTTAAATCTCAAAAATGTCAATAACAACATACATTATTGAAAAAGATGAAGAATTTCAAAAATGACAAAAAACTTACTGCGAGAGAGTCATGAATCTTGGCAAATGTATCGCTTTGAGATTGCAGATAAACGAAATCATTGTTGCAAAAAACATACTGATCAACTTGATTAGTGAATGATCAAAAAATTAATAATTATGTCACCTCTCGAAGAAGAAGGTTTAACACTACGGCTTAAGAAAAGCACCTTTCCTATGAAAACTTGCTTTCACCCCTCCCCCCTAGGTGAACGTTTGTTAAATATTGTAGACCATAATTTTTTTGGTTTCTAACCGTTCTAACTTTCGCAAATGCTGCAAAAGTCAACGTTTTATTCAAATATTCTGAAATGACAATTGATTCCTCGCTGTTAAATTTTCTTAAAAAATTGCCACAAACCTTTTTCCACAAAACTCGCGGCAATCCCGTGTTTTCGCCTCAGGAGGCTTTCTATGAAATTTCCTTGAGAATCACAAACATTCCTAAGTAGATTTTTAGGATTAGCTGCGCCTTCAGCTTGCAAATATCCGATATAAGTTTTTTGGTTTGTTTAGTTACTAGTCTTATGACTGTAAAAGTAGTTTCGTTCTAGCGATCAATAAAGAGTTTTTTCTTTTCCATGAAAGCCATGAAGCGTTGCTTCATAGAAATTATAAAATTATGCTTATTCTGAGTTTTAGCCCTATATATTTGGACAAAAAAGAACATTTATTTGCAGCTGAAATGAAAATTGAAAATTCTGAAATAATCTAATCAATAATCAGCTGCTACTAAAGAGTTGTGCAATGTTAGGCTAGTTTTTTTCGATTTTTAGAAATTAGGTTGACAGCTTCTAACAAGGGAAGTCCAGTTAGTCGAAGTGGTCTTTCCAAGAGAGTCTTATACCACTTTGAAAAGCATCAAACGATAATTTCAAATCTGATTTCACTATTTGCCCGTTTCTGCATGCCAAGTTATGAATATTTTCTTTGTGCGAAAAATGACCGCGAAAACTGGGTAAAATCCAATTTTACGGTCCTTTCAGAGCTCAAATAGAGCAGCGTTGAGTATGAGTGTTTAGGACAGAAGACATTGTTTAAATGGAGTGTTAGGATAATCAAACTGGAACATTGCAATTCTGACGAATTTTTTTCTAACTATGCATTCAATTTTTCAGTTCAAAAAACGCTCATAACTCGACGTCCAGAGGCGCTCGGCAGATAACGAAGACACATTCGGAATCAGCGTTCGATGGCCTTTACAGTCGTATCAATTTCATTTGAATAAGCCACTTCGACCAAACGGACCTCCCTTGTAAGCGTATCAGGCTCTGACTTTACTACTACCTTAGATGGTAGGGTGTAGACTATTAGCAGTTTTGCGATGTACTTATTTTTTTTTCAAAAATTGTCCAACAAGTTACGCTAAGAATTTGTGACGGTGGGTAGGAAAGTATCAGCAGTTCCATTTTATCCCAGGAGTGAGAAGCTATACCGTACTTCTTCTTCTTTGCTACTTCTATTCATCCTTGTTCCTCCTTTCGTATCATTTCTATCGGATTTTCCAGTCTTTTTTGCGATAAATTATCGTGATGATTTGATTCCATTATATACTAAAGAGTATTTTTCAGCTATGCTTACAACCCAGGTTGGTATTTCATGTGGGCGACAGTCACCAAACCCATTGCGAAACTCAAGAACATCCCTCCTTGCGGAGACTCCTTCATGTAGGTTGTTATTTTTTCTAGAAGTTGCTGAAATATCCTATCAAGTCATTCAATCAAGTAAAACATACAATCAAAAATAAAATCATAACATAAATTTGGCCTAGAAGTTTCCACAAAACTACGATTTTATATCAAAATATGTTGCGAGCGTATTAACAAACTAGAAGCAACATTTTTTGGTTAGTACACTTCATCCCTCTTTTCAAATGGTTGGAAAGAGGGATGAAGTGAAAGAAATGAAGAAAAAAAAATAGGATTTTGTCTGGCAGATAGAACGAAATAAAAGAATTCAAAAAATACTTACACATAGCTTAAAACGCAAGCTCTCCCAATGTTCGACAAAACAATATAAAATCAGATTTTCAAGCTTGTTACGTTTAATTTCCACCTACTCAAATGCAATTAAGATCATTCACAGAACAGATCAATTGAAAATTGCCCGCACTATGACCGCTAAAGTACTTCTGTGCAGCTCTTAAAGACCTAAATATTCGAGTATTGTGCCATACTGAAGTTGTAATTCTTAAGGACTTTTATATACCTCTCTGGAACAAACTATCAATTTTTACGCGGAAAAATTTTATTCTTGCTAGTTTTGATCTCGTTTAGAATTCTATGAGAAGGCTAATGCCTTTTAATCTTCGTTAGAATGTATTTTCACAAAAAGTTCATATAAACTCTCACATTTTAGCAGCCTCGAGTATCCTAACTCCGCCTCCGCTTCGACTCGATCAACCATTTGCACATCGAGTACGTGGTGAGAAGTTTGTTCGACATATGGAATCCTCACCGGAGTTGACGTTGCCGCCCAGGTAGGGTCTCAGAAATTTTGATTTTCAAAAATTCAGAACATTTTGCTAAATAATTCATCAGAGTGCAACAAATAATAAAAAGAACTTTACATTTATTTTTTCTACATTTCTGTTAATTTATTGAGCAATTCCTATCGTATTATGTTCGATAGCGAAGAAGGCATAAATACTGCGCTTTTCTATTGCCTAAGTCTCAAAAATTTACAATATCTAGGGCTGGGAAATTTTCCTTTGGTCACTTGTAGTTTATTTAGATATGTAGTTGATTATCCTTTGCAATTTTCATTTTATTCGCACATTGCAAACATCAGTTCATCAGTTATATAGAGTGTCCCAAAAAGATGTGCACACTTAGTAGTTGTCATATGATATTATGCCAGTACCAGGTTTGTACGGTGGAATGTTTTATTGGCCTTAGATTTCGACAAAATCGTCTTCGTCGGAGGCATGAAAGTAGATTGCAGTGTTATCTGTGGGACCAGACCGCCAAACGCCTCCCCGCACTGCCGAGCCTAGACAACGCTCCGCACTCAACGTACTGGGCATGTCGATGAGAAGACGAACCTTTATCCACCTGATGTTAGTGAGAGTCAGTAGAGTCAGTACTTAGTCGCACCGAAGAGACAGACGACACTGAGTGCTGCTATGATCGACACTTATATATATGCAGACCTCTCACAGATTGCTAAGATAGGCAAGAGTTCAGCTGTTATTGATACGCTTTCATTTTTGTTGTTCATGCTAGGATCTCGAAGGGAAATCCACGCTGCGTCAACGGTTATCCGCACTGTAATCTCTGCCTCGTATGACAAAATAGTGCACTTAACGTCAAATCCACCGCCGTCGTGCGTTTCTATTCTGTGTCTTCCCAACGGTGACATTGCATTTGCTCGTCTTTTTGCCGCTAGATGCTCCTTAAGTCTAACACAGCAATCTACCCGTTTCTCCTATATATGTCGCCTTGCAGTTCATGCACTCCAATTCATACACTACTTTTGCCTTCGCGCAATCACCTACTTTTCCGTATGGGCAGACTGTACATTGCTCTGATAGACATTCTGCGTCATAGAGTTTGTTCCTTACCAACTGCTTCTTGATGTTCTCATTCGGAATGTTCACGAGCATAACATCATTTTGCAGTTGTGCTCGCCTTATACATTGTTTAATTGCTGCACTGAATTTATCGGAAATGAAAGGCATACACAAGGGCACCTTGTTATCCTAAGCGTGGCTACTGTTCGCAAACTTGGAAGCGCAGCTTAAACGTTGTGGCAAATACCATTGCTACGCGCAATTTGTGTAGCCAGTTTTACATTTTGTCATATGACAACTACTAACATCATTCCAAGTGCCCAGATTCAGAGAAGAGAGAACATTTAACTTACTGATGTGCACACTGTTTGATCGTTAATAACTCCCTTGCTTTCATGTCTTTTGCCGAGTTTGAGATACCATTCTGTAAACCGAGGTCAACTTAGATTTACCATAAGGAGCGAATCACCAATCACTATTCGTTACTGTAGGATTACGCTATGAACTTTCAGCAAACAGCGCCAGTGTGGAATAGATGACGAAATAATTTTGGAAAAATCTGAAAATTTGTGTAGAAAGGTTTTGAAGCGTGCTGATTTCACTACATAGCTTTTCACCAGTTTTTTGAGCTTTCTTGGTGGCGTATTCACATTTCTGACAAACACTGGAAAACCAGTTGTCACCCTGAATCTGAAATAACTCATGAAAGAAGCACTACACTGAAGTGCATTTTTCATATTTAGTACCAGCGACATCGACTAATTCAGTTCAAGAGTTTCTGGCTTGTTTGGCTTCTTTTTGAGGCAAAATACCGCTTGCAATAACTTAAAATCCTCCTCGAGGTTCTTACCATAATCCTACAGTAAAAAAGAGCGGCTGATAATTCGCTCTATACTGTAAATCTAACAAGGGAACCGTGTCGAGTCGAAGTGGCCTTTCCGGATGAGACCCATACTGCTTTGAAGAGCATTAATCGATGATTCCAAATCTGCTTTCCAAATCTGCCAAGCGCCTCTGGACGCCGAGTTATGCTCGTTTTTCGGGTCAAAAAATTGAACGCAAAACTGAAGCAAAATCGCCCAAATTTGCTCTAATGGTCCAGTGTCGAGTATCAGAGCTGTTTATGCAATGGATACATTTTATTTTATATGCTAACACTTAACATTGCTTCATCTGAGCGCTGGAAAGATTGTAACAATCAATTTTACCTAAATTCTGCATTCATTTTTCGTTCCGAAAAACGGTCTTGACTCGGCGTCCAGAGGCGCTTGGCAGATTTGGAAAGCAGATTTGGAATCACCGCTTAATACTCTTTAAAGCAGTATGGGTCTCATTTGGAAAGGCCACTTCGACTCGACACGGTTCCCTTGTAAGTTAAATCGCTCTAAAGAATATTACCTCAAGATCGGCAAAAGACGTGAAAGCAAGAGAGTTATAAACGATCAAACAGTGTGCACATCTTTTTGGGACACCCTGTAGATATATTTATTTAGTTATTTAATCATTCATTCATTCATTCGATCGATTCAAGCAATCAATCCTTTATTGATTTATTTATTTATATATTTATTTATTTATTCATTCATTCATTCAACCATTCAGTCATTCATTCCGTTCATTCATTCATTCTTTCTTTCTTTCTCATATTCTTCCATTCCAATTTCATTCCTTCACCCATCAGTTTGTTCATCCTTCTTTACCTGTTCCTTTTTCATCCAATCACCCGCTCATGCAAATTTACCAGATACCTGTAAGCTCATAAAATTTTATAACTATCCATGTTTGAGTTCATTCTTTACTATTACTACTAGTGGACCAGCATTTAAAGGTGCCAGATTGCATCCGCGCTCTTCGGGACCGCACCGCGGTTTCCCGCTATTTGCAGATTTTTGAATTGAGCTAACGATCCGTTATATATTAGACTTAACAAGTAATCGATTATTTATTTCACACCTTGCTTTCGTAGATTTGGTTGAACTTGGAATCCTCATTCATTCTTTTGTTTTTTCATATTGAACATGTTCCCATTTGCAGAAGTGCAAGGCGTTGCATCATTTTTTTTTGCTGTGCACTTTATATTCTTAACTAAATAGCTTTTGTTCTCAAGGGGCAAATAAGCATTGTATGACTAAAAAAGTTGCAAAATGAGTTGAACGTGCTGTGATGTATGGAAACGCAGTGCTTTTCGTGTTTCACTGGTAATTCTACAGGAATGGGGCCATAAAAACCGTTAGCTCATTTTCATCTGTTAGCACTATATGTGCTTGCTCATGCTCTTGATGATAAACTAATCTAAGCATTTTCTTCTTGGATAATCCTCATTTTCATGGATGAGCAGCGTTATCTAGGCGTTTCGAGGCTCTGCAAGCATGCTGAATTCAGCAACTACTAAGCGCAAAGAAGGACCACCCATGCTGTTCATTATATACTGCTTGTGACACTGAGTGCCGCATTTTAATGAATTTCGCACTTCAAACATTTTATTCTGCGCTTACGCCAGTTCATCTGTACATATGCCCGTCAATGAAACCTTCTGTGGCATCAAGCAATTACCAAATTGCAATCGAGTATCGAGTAAAATCTAGTCATTAGTTGTGCATATAATTAGGTCGGTGCAAAAGTTTTGTCAGTTTTTTGGAACGACCCGCAAACTGTACAGTAATGGTAAACGAACACTTCAAGCTGTATCCGATGCAGAGTGGACTGTGACACCCGCCGGGCCCAAAGTGTATGTGTGCCAAGTTTGGTCCGGATTGGTTAAGAAATGGAATTTTCTATTCGGAACATACGGCGGAGCCGGGTAAGCCAGCTAGTGGATTAATAAAGACCATCTATCTAATAAAGACCTGTGCTGCTCAAAAGCCTTCAAATACAAAAGTACAGAGACGTTATGTCACCAGTGCTGGTTCTATCTGGGTCATAGTCTTTCATTAAAGTTGCAGTAAGAATTTATAGTGAACGTTCGTAAAAAAAGAATAAACTCATTTGAGTAGCTTTAGCACATCATGACAAGCTGGCGACGCGATTTCCGCAGATGATTGTTTTCGTGATTTCAAACCGCAATATTTCTTCCATAAGCTGGCATTTGATGCTATGGTGTGGCCAAACTGCGCGGCTTGCGCGACGCACGCAACGTGCCATGTCTTTACGCACATTTGCGTACGCTGCGTACATCGCGAAGTCTGGTTCAACCTTTAGGTGAATACTAAGCCTTGTCCCTGTTTCCTTGTCTTCTCAGGCCTCTGACTCTGAATGGGCACAACCCTAATGTGCTCTCTTGCACGATGTATAGAGGCCATATATCATGGAAGCATGTGCAATTGCACACCTCATATGTACTAGTAGAATCGGGCATTTGTCAGATTTATTAGGTGATGTTTGTCAGCGAATTGCTCAGAAATGTCAGTGCTGCGTTCCCTCACCACGGTCACCATCTGGATAGAAGTCTCGTCTACTGTATATGTGGCTATTACCCAAATGCTTAAATTTGAATGCTAGAATGCTTGCGTCTGAGAGCCATGAAAGGCTACAATATGAGCAAAATATGTAAGCACTTCGCCCACTCACTCAATGTCATCGTACGTGTCGGGACCTATCAGACCCTCATGTTCTTTCTAGCTCAGAAGGGATAACATGCGTTTTGTGCGCGGAAAATAAAGTTGTGCTTTTCGCATCATCCTCTGCTTCTATCTTTTAAACGTATGGTGGGATGTGGCACTGATTATTAGTACAAAAATAGAACCCAGTTGTCGCGGGATGCAAGATGGGTGGAGGAACGAACACCTCAATTAGGTACCGCCTGCGCGGGCTGCTGGTCCTTTCGTCCTACTGTTATGCATCGTGTTGGGACCAATAGTCCGCGGAGGCGGTACCTAATTGAGGTGTTCTTTTCTCCACCCAGCTCCTTGGGATAGCAAGCCGGGATGCGCTGACTGTCCGCTATCCCGGTACTGATCGCGCTACTATGT